ATGGTCTGTGTTTTAATTCAGACGGTGACCGGCCAAGGAATGGAAAACAGTCTCTTTGTCGAGTATTTAGGGAAACATATTTTGATTGACAAAAGCAAATTGGGAAATAACTTTATCTCTTCCTGGAGAAATTAGGAAAATACGGCATGCGGACGAAAACAGATTTAGAGAACATTCTTATCTCTTCCTTGAGGCAAACAAACATATTTTCGTTGACGAAAAAGAATTGGGAAATGAAAACAAGGAACGAACCTGCTATGAGGATCTAAGTCATGAAAATTAATTCTTTTGTGACAAGCAGGTAATCTGGTTTGTATTTTCGCTAAGACAGTGACCAACCCTTGGATGGAGAACAGTTTTATCTCTTCCTCAGACAAACAAATATATTTTCGTTGACGAAAACGAATTGGGAAATGAAAACAAGGAACGAATTTGCTGTGGGAGTATCTGTTTTGTGTTTTCCCTCGACATGGTAGGTCTGGGAACGGAGAGATAATTTTATCTCTGCCTTGAACAGACAGGAGAATTAAAATTAATGATTAGAATAAACTACGCCCTTTCGTACAAAAGATTTTACTTTCCAAATCATTTTGAAATCTACTTGTCACAAAGACAGTTAGGCCGGCGTGAGAGACGGGCTGAGGTATAATGCCGAGAAAGAAGAAGAAGGTGGATTTAGCGCCGCCTGTGTGGAGTAGTGGTGCGAGATGTGAAGTGAAGCAGATTGGAGTTAGAGGAGGGGCAGTCCCTGTAACTATTCCCGAGAATGAAGATGATTCTACAAATTTGGAAAGTTGATTAAGAAAGCAAAAATGGCGTACAAAGAACGCTTATTAAAATTAATGTGAAAATTAAGAATCAACGAATTCCAAGAACTTGAAACAGTTTTTGTCCGAAGTGCATGTAAGCAGATGGCTTAGGCTGAGAACCCGCACCGAGTGCCACCAGATTTCCTGATAACGAAGAACATTATTAGTCGAAGCAGAGTGTCACTGGAGAGTGATGCAGGAAAGGTTAATTTTTGTTGTAACAAGAGCTATATAATCCAACTTATGATTAACCTCATGAATCTTTTGTTTTCTTGCTGAATATAGCACTTGCCACGGCTTGAACCAGCGCTGCGATTACTACGACCTTCGATCTTCCACTGCTGTGAGATCAAGTACACAACGTGGGCAATTAGATGTGGATCGAATCGACCAGCGACCAACAACCAGCTTGGACCTGCACTGACCAACGCAGAGTTAGCCCCGTGGTTAAAACGTCGTCATAAGACCCTGAGGATCGGAACTACTAAACATAGTTACACCACGGATGTAGACAGCAGAAGGTAACTTTATATACAAATATTTCGGGTCTCGAATAACCATCAGGAACGGAATAATCCATTTTACATTGATTCTTATGGTGAAAGTAATTTCGCTTTACGAACTTTCCGAGTGAAGAACAGCCATCAGGAACGGAATAATCCATTTTACATTGATTCCTATGGGGAAAATAGTTTCGGTTTACGAACTTTCCGAGTCAGGAGCGACCATCAGTAAAGGATTAAGCCATTTTACTTTGATTCCTATGGGGAAAATAGTTTAGGTTTACGAACTTTCTGGGCTACGGTCGGCCTTAAGGAACGGATTAATCCATTTTACATTGATTCCTATGAGGAAAATAGTTTCGTTTTGCGAAATTTCCGAGTGACGACCTTCAGGAACGGATTAATCCACTTTACATTGATTCCTACGGGGAAGATAGTTCCGGTTTACGAACTTTCTGAGTGACAAACGACCTTCAGGGAGCGATTAAGCCATTTTGCATTGACTTCTGTGTAACACCCGAAACGGCTCGATTCTCCACTGCTCTGAGATCAAGAATACAACGTGGGGTTGGTGTGGATCGGGGCGGCCAGCAACCAGTTTGAACCAGCGTCAGCGTTGACCAACGCAGAGTTAGCCCCGTGGTTAAAACGACGTCCTAAGACCCTAAGGACCGGATCACTAAAAGGGTGGAGGAGGCGGTAGGTGTTATAAAGGAAACGTTTATAAACGTTTCAAGATTCTTCGCTTTTATTTATATTATTTTATTTTATTTTATTTCATTTAATTATTTATTTAAATATTTTATTTAATTCATAATTTTATTAATGAAATATAGAAGAGAAAAGAAAATTCTAGTAACCCTAAAATAAAAGTATCAAAACTCTTTCTTATTTGGAGTCTGTCTATATTTCTGAGATGAGGTATTATGTACACTATTTACATTATTCGGAATATTGTCCTCATCTTTGTCGCCATATTTATTACAACGTTTCGGCCCTTCAGTATCTGTCTATATTTCTGAGATGAGGGATTATGTACATTATTTACATTATTCGGACTATTGTCCTCATCTTTGTCACCATATTTATTACAACGTTTCGGCCCTTCAGTATCTGTCTATATTTCTGAGATGAGGGATTATGTACATTATTTACATTATTTGAGATGAGGACTATTGTCCTCATCTTTGTCGCCATATTTATTACAACGTTTCGGCCTTTCAGTATCTGTCTATATTTCTGAGATGAGGATTATGTACACTATTTACATTATTCGGACTAATGTCCTCATCTTTGTCGCCATATTTATTACAACGTTTCGGCTGTTGTACGCTCCGGCCTTCTTCAGGTGGTTGGAATTTCGAACTGAACCCTTTATTTGGATCACTGGGGTAGACTGTTCTAGTTCCACGTGCCATGTTTAATGGATGTCAGTTATCAGTTATCTCCTGTTAATTTTCCTCTGAAAGTTCTTCACTGCCTTAACCAGGTATTGAACTCACACTCTTTGGATCCTGTCAATGGATCTAACCAACGCCTTTATCCACTGTGCCATGTGTCCTTGAGGCACGTGGAACTAGAAAAGTCTACCCCAGTGAGCGAAATAAAGGGTTCAGCTTTGAAATTCCAACCACCTGAAGAAGGCCGGAGCGTACAACGGCCGAAACGTTGTGATAAATATGGCGACAAAGATGAGGAAAATAGTCTTTCTCTTTTATTTTTCATCTTCTGGGTAAGCTTAAGTAAATGCGAAACCTGTTAAATTTAAAATTGTTTCCCCATTTGATTCACGCAGAATTAATTACCGAAATCATTAAACTAAATATAAAAAAAAACAGATTTCAACTCCAACCATCCATAGTGTAAAGAAAGAGATCGTCTGCTGCTTAACATCATCAAGCAAAACTCATGTGGTGACCCAGAGACATATGAACAAAATATGGTTAGTATAAGCAGTACCCTACAAAGTAACAACTACCCTGGGTACATGGCAGAAGCTCCGAAAAACTGGGATAGAACGGTACAAGCGGATAACAACACTCGGAAAACAGGCTTCAGTCTGCCTACTCTATGAGAAGAAATTATCGGAGAAAATATAAAAGATCTGTGGTCTATCAAGACGATCTTCAAAAGTGGTCCAACACTTCGCAGACTCCTCTTCCGAGTAAGACGCCCATAGAGGAGAATATGACTAAGGACTGTATGTACACCATCCCGTGCAGCTGTGGTAAGAAATATAAAGGAGAAACAGCTGTCCAGTTAAGGTAAGAACATCGTAACACGAGGGGAAATAGAAAAATCAGGCGTAGCTGACCATATATAGAGGGAAAAGGGAGATTACCGCTCCCTGTGGGATGATGTTGAAATAACAGAGCATCATTGGAAAATACGAAAACTTAAGGAATCAGCACATATGCTGGGCCCAAAAATCTCCCGAGCCGACCAAGCATAGAAATGAATACAATATGGGGACCTGTAATAAGGAATGCTAGTGAAAAGCAATGAATAAAAAAAAAAATGCAATATAAACTCTGCTAAAAAAATTCAATCATATTAACAAAAATTACAATATGAGCACTGGTGAAAACGATTGTAGTGATATTAGGTCTATAAGTCCCCAAAATTCATACACAGATGTCCTCGAGGACATATGGCCCAGTGGATAAAGATGTTGATAAGATCCAGTGACTAGACACTAAAAGTTGTGATTCCAATACCAAAAAACTTGGAGAGTTGAGTTAAAAGGGAAATAACAGAGACACCCAGAAGAGGCATGGCACATGGAACTAGAACAATCTACGCCGGTGGATGAAATAAAGGGTTCGGTTCGAAATTTAAGTCCCATGACGAAAGCCGGAGCGAACAACGGCTGAAACGTTGTGAATATGGCAATGAAGATGAGGATAACAGTCCGAATAATGTAAATAATGCAAGTAATCATAATACTTCATCTCAGAGATCCAATCACCTGAAGAAGATCGGGACGTTCAACGGCTGAAACGTTGTGAATATGTTAATGAAGATGAGGATAACAGTCCGAATAATGTAAATAATGCAAGTAATCATAATACCTCATCTGAGAGATCCAATCGCCGGAAGAAGGCCGGAGTGTATAACAGCCGAAACGTTATGAATATGGCAATGAGGATAACAGCCCGAATAATGTAAATAATGCAAGTAAAACAGACAAGTAATTAAATTTAGCAAATTACGAATACAAATCCGTAGAAATGATTCTGATAAATTGATGTCCATTTTGGGTGCGCAGTTCGCATACAAATTTGTTACTACTGCGCAGCTTCCCTGATCCTCCCCAAGTTGGAGTTATGCACCCAAGTCACGCAGTAACCTTTCATATAATAAATGCAAAATCGAACGCGGACATTTTTTTTTTTTTATGTTCGCGGCTTTTTTTTTTTTTATTTCTTTGTAGTGTTTTCTTTTCTCGGTTCCGAAATGTGTCCACCATTTTGTTTTTTTAGTCTTTAGATTTTGGCTGTTAATTCTTAGTTCGTGTTTCTTGTGTTTCGCCAGAGGATGTAAAGAGAGGGTGAAAAAAGGGTCGAAAAGAGAAATTAGAAGATGCAAAAAGCTAAACAAAGAATAAAAATGAATGAGAGACCGATATTTGAAAATCAAAGAACAACAATACACATAGGAAATAAAGAAGGAAACTTTCTCAAGCGGATTAGTAGGATTTGAGCGTAACACAGTCGGCAAAAAAGAAAGAAAAGAAAGAAAGAAAGAAATGGAAAACAAATGAGAAAGAAAGAAAAGGTATGCAGTAAGAAAGAAGGAAAAAGAAAGAAAGAAATAGAAAACAAACGAGGAAGAAAGAAAAACTATGCAGTAAGAAAGAAGGGAAAAGAAAAAAGAAAAGAAAGAAAAAGAAAGAAAGGAAAACAAATGAGAAAGAAAAAGTATGCAGTAAGAAAGAAGGAAAAAGAAAGAAAGAAAGAAAGGTAAACAAACGAGAAAGAAAAACTATGCAGTAAGAAAGAAGGGAAAAGAAAGAAGAAAAGAAAGAAAAAGAAAGAATGGAAAACAAATCAGAAAGAAAAAAAATGCAAGAAAGAAAAGAAGGAAAGAAAAGAAAGAAAGAAAGAAAGAAAGGTAAACAAACGAGAAAGAAAGAAAAACTATGCAGTAAGAAAGAAGGAAAAGAAAAAAAAAAAAGAAAGAAAAAAAAAACAAACGAAGGAAAACAAATGAGAAAGAAAAAGTATGCAGTAAGAAAGAAGGGAAAAGAAAGAAAGAAAGAAAGAAAGAAAGAAAGGTAAACAAACGAGAAAGAAAGAAAAACTATGCAGTAAGAAAGAAGGGAAAAGAAAGAAGAAAAGAAAGAAAAAGAAAGAAAGAAAGAAAGAATGGAAAACAAATGAGAAAGAAAAAGTATGCAGTAAGAAAGAAGGGAAAAGAAAGAAAGAAAGAAGGGAAAAGAAAGAAAGAAAGAAAGAAAGAAAGATTGCAAGAGTAAAAGAAAGAAAGAAAGAAAGAAAGAAAGAAAGAAATATAAACTAGGCTAAACAAAAAAGAAAAAGAATGAACAAATATAAGACAGACGGGAAAGAAAGAAAGAAAAGAAAGAAAGAAAGAAAGAAAGAAAGAAATACGTCTAACAGAAAAAAGAAAGACTGAAAAAAAAGAAAGAAATGGAAAACAAATTAGAAAAAAGCGTCCGCTAGAAAACAAGGAAAAAGAAATAGAAAGTAAAAAAGAATTACTGACTGACTGAGTGAAAGAAAGAAGGACTGAAAGAAAGAAAGAAGAAATGAAAAATGAACGAGAGAAAAAAATGAAATGGAAAAATAAATAAGAAAGAAAGAAAAAGCATGCGACAAAAAAGAAGGGAAAGAGAAATAAAAAGAACGACTGAAAGAAAAAAGAAAGAAAGAAAAACGAAAGAAAAGAAAAAAACAAGAATGAAAAGGCAATGAAGGAAAAGAAAGAAGGAAAGAAAGAAAAAACGAAAGGAACGTATAAGGAAAGAAAGAAAGAAACAAGAACGAAAAAGGCAATGAGGTAAAAGAAAGAAAGAAAGAAAGAAAGAAAGAAAGAAAGAAAGAAAGAAAGAAAATAAATGAGAATAAATGAAAAAAAAGTTGAAGAAAGAAAGCAAAAAGGAAAGCAACGAAGAAATAAAGACAGAACAAAAGTCGATTTATAATGAAGAGAGAAAGTAAGATGCGGTGGGAAAAGATGTTTAAAATAAAAAGATGAAGAAGAGAAAAATGATGGCGGGATAAAGAAGATACAAAGTGTGAGAAAGAAGAAGAAGAAAAAAGAGGAAAAGAGAGGATGAAAGAATAGAAAAACAAAGGAAGGAAAATAAGAGTCTAGAGGAAGAAGATACAATAAGAGGAAAAAACAGGACAAAGGTTTTTTTTTTTGAGAAAGACAGAAAGAAAGAAGTGAAGAAAAAAGAAAGAAAAAAGAAAGAAGAAAGAAAGAAAAAAGAAAGAAAAAAGAAAGAAAACGTATGGTGATCGATAAACGAGAGAGAAGAAAAGAAAGATAGGAACAAAAGATGCAATAAAGAGAGAAAGAAACAAAAAGAGCAAAAGAGATTATGAGAAAAAACTGAAGAAAATTTAAAAAAAGGTATGCGCTGTATATAAAAAATAAAGAATGTATTTCGTCGTATATGAAAAATTAAAAAAGGTAATGCGTCGTATATATAAAAATAAAAAATGTATTTCGTCGTTTATGAAAAATAATAAAGTTAATGCGTCGTATACAGAAAAAATAAAATTGTAGCTCGTCGTATATGAAAAAAAATAAACGTAATGCGTCATGTATATAAAAAATAAAAATGTAGTTCGCAGTATATGAAAACAAAAACGATTACTGCGTCGTATATATAAAAAATGTAGTGCGTCGTATATGAAAATAAAAAAGGTAATGCGACGTATATATAAAAATAAAACATGCATTTCGTCGTTTATGAAAAATAAAAAAGTTAATGCGTCGTATACAAAAAAATGAAAAGGTAATGCGTCGTATATATAAAAAATAAAAAAGGCAATTCGTCGTATTTATACAAAATAAAAATGTAATTCGCCGTATATGAAAAATAAAAAAATGTAATTCGTCGTATGTATAAAAAATAAAAATGTAGTTCGCCGTATATGAAAAATAAAAAAGGCAATTCGTCGTATATATAAAAAATAAAAATGTATTTCGCAGCATATGAAAAATAAAAAAGGCAATTCGTCGTATATATAAAAAATAAAAATGTAGTTCGCCGTATATGAAAAATAAAAAAGGTAATTCGTCGTATATATAAGAAATAAAAATGTAGTTCGCCGTATATGAAAAATAAAAAAAGGTAATTCGTCGTATATATAAAAAATAAAAATATAGTTCGCCGTATATGAAAAATAAAAAAAGGTAATTCGTCGTATGTATAAAAAATAAAAATGTATTTCGCCGTATATGAAAAATAAAAAAGGCAATTCGTCGTATATATAAAAAATAAAAATGTATTTCGCAGTATATGAAAAATAAAAAAGGCAATTCATCGTATATATAAAAAATAAAAATGTAGTTCGCCGTATATAAAAGATAAAAAAAGGTAATGCGTCGTATATATAAAAAATAAAAATGTAGTTCGCCGCATACGAAAAATAAAAAAACCTTAACCCTGCTGTGTGTGTGTGTGTGTGTGTGTGTGTGTGTGTGTGTGTGTGTGTGTGTGTGTAAGATTAATGCAAATATAACATTTCTCCCGTAACTCATGTTATATTCAGTCCCCGACTCTAGAGTTTCGTAGATAAACCCTTTTGCAATCGTTTGCATCCAATCATCATCAGGTATTAGCAATTGTCTACCATTTTCTCAACTTCGTTATACTTACATTAAGTTAAAAATAATTTATGTGGGTTTTATTGATGGTAGGTGTATTTTTTCTTCGTGGGTGAGTGTGTCTGTGACTGTGTAATCGCTCGAGTGTGCGCCTCTACTTGTGTGTATGTGAAAATGTGTAGCATGTGGTAGATATTTTCCTATTCATAATTTTTTGTCTCCTTAAACTCTCCCGCTAATTGTAAAAGACGTCTTAAGATAATTGAAACACTTTACATCAAACGGTTTTGTCTTCCAGAATGCTGGGGTGAGATGATTAAACAAAACATTGTACAGAATAATCGCTATAGTCCGATAATAAATTAACATATTTTTCTTTTGATTTCATTTCGTACATTTGACATTATTTAGTACATTTGTCATCATTTGATACATTTAAAATTACTTACTATCTTTGATTTTATTTTGTCCATTTAACATTAGTTCGCACATATGGCTTTATTTAGTACATTTGTTTTGATTTGTTACTTTTAGTATTATTGAGTACATTCGGCCTTATTTTGTAGATTTGGCTTTATTTAGTACATTTGGCTTTGTTTCGTACATTTAAGTTTATTTCGGCCATTTTAATTTATTTAGTATCTTTGGCTTAATTTGGTGCATTTGGCATTAGTACATTTGGTTTCATTTCGTCCATTGGACTTTATTTTATACATCTGGCTTTGGTACATTTAATATTAGTTAGTACATTTGGCCTTATTTCATACATTTAACTTTATTTCGGACATTTGGCCTTATTTGGTACATCTGGCCTTATTTGGTACATTTGTCTTTAATTGGTACATTAGTTAGTACATTTGATTTTATTTTATACATTTGACTTTATTTCGGACATTTGGCCTTATTTGGTACATCTGGCGTTATTTGGTACATTTGTCTTTAATTGGTACATTAATTAGTACATTTGGCCTTATTTCATACATTTGACTTTATTTCGGACATTTGGCCTTATTTGGTACATCTAACTTATTTGGTACATTTGTCTTTAATTGGTACATTAGTTAGTACATTTGATTTGATTTTATATATTTGACTTTATTTCAGACATCTGGCACCTTTGGCTATATTTGGTACATTTAACATTAGTTTGTAAATTTGGCTTTATTTCGTCCTTTTGATTTTATTTAGTACCTTTGGCTTAATTTAGTACGTTTGACATTAGTACATTTGGTTACATTTCGTCCATTTGACTGTCTTTTATACGTTTAGCTTTGGTACATTTAACATTAGTATATTTCGCCTTATTTCATACATTTGACTTTATTTGGTAAATTTGGCCTTATTTCGTACATTTGGTTTTATTTCGTAAATTTGGCCTTATTTAGTACATTTGGTTTTATTTCGGACATTTGGCCTTATTTAGTACATTTGGTTTTATTTCGGACATTTGACCTTATTTAGTACATTTGGCTTTGGTACATTTAACATTAGTACATTTGGGTTTTTTCGTGAATTTGTCTTCATTTTAATACAAACAAGCAGTAATAAGTATAATATTTTTCGACAAGTACCTGAGAAAATAAGAAAGCGCTTGTTCAAGTCTTTCAATAGCTTACATTTCCGTCTTTCGTCCTCATTCTCATAGAATCGAGTCTAATTATCGATTTAACAATCTCTTTATGTCGAAACATTGCTTATTATAGTTTTCAAAACGACAGACAATAACAAAATTATTGCATGAATTCATGAAAAATCTTCTCTAATTAAAACACACATTGTAGAGATCCAACACTATTTCATTCGTATTCCCCTGGTGAGAAGGGTCAAGTGTACATGACACTCAAGCAGATTCATCCCACGAACAACTGCCTTAAGGAACCGACTCCCAAGAGATTGCTTCCCTGGTTACTACAATCTTAACCTTTTCAAGTCGAGGGCTAACGATTATCATCCACACACATGCGCATAAGCTGCCTCTTTCTCTACTCTGTAACCATCTACTTCCGGGTATTTTACAGAGTGTAAACAAGTTTTTAAAAATCATTTCTAAGAAAAAGATCATTAATTTAATTTAATTTATTCCGCCCCTGAAACTAGTGAACAAATACACCCACATTAAATTCATCATCATCTTTAGCACCGGTTGTGGTTGCAGGGTTGCTGTGCAGCTAAGCACCTGATAAGCTCCCTCCATATACCTCAGCTGTGTGCCAATATTTGGGTCTCTGTGAAGGATTTTCTAGTCCACTCTGTAGTCTTCGAAGCGCGGGTGGTGTAATGGACAATGAGAAGGATTTGCTATTTGGAGAGCCGAGTTCCGATTCCAGTTGGGTTCGTTACATTCACTATTCATTGGGCAAGAATCCACCTCTTCTCCACCAACACCTAGCTATGGGTTAAACAGTAGCACTTAGATATGGAAAAAAATGTTATCTCCAAAACATTGTTAATGCAATATTCACATGCAAAAACAAGAAAAAATAATTATTCTTACAATCTGTTTCGGCTTTAAATAACCCACAAAGGGTTGATAAGCCGTAAAAAACAAATGAACCAATCCAATCATCTCAACAATGATGTCATTCCTTTTAGGGCGTATCTTTGAGGCACAGTGGATGGAGACGCGGATTGGGAAATCAGAGAGCTGAGTTCGATTTCCAGTTGAGTTAGTTCACATTGGCGAAAAGTATGAATCCACTTGACCAGCAGCTATGGTTGAATAGGGTCTTATAGACTTGAGTGACAACCGGTCTAGGAAAGGGACAACACTGAATTCGAAACCGCTAACTATGGATTAAATAGCCTCACCAAACCGCACTTGCCAAGCGTGGTGAGTATAGCCACACCCCTGAAGACATGGTCAGTCAGGGAGGAGTAAAGAGGAGTGGGAAAGGCATGGTCAACCAGGGAGAGGTCTCTCCATCAGGAGTGAGAAGACATGGTCAACCAGGAAGAGGTCTCTCCATCAGGAGTGAGAAGACATGGTCAACCAGGCAGAGGTCTCTCCATCAGAAGTGAGAAGACATGGTCAACCAGGAAGAGGTCTCTCTATCAGGAATGAGAAGACATGGTCAACCAGGGAGAGATCTCTCCATCAGAAGTGAGAAGACATGGTCAACCAGGGAGAGTTCTCTCCATCAGGAGTGAGAAGACATGGTCAACCAGGAAGAGGTCTCTCTATCAAAAGTGAGAAGACATGGTCAACCAGGGAGAGGTCTCTCCATCAGAAGTGAGAAGACATGGTCAACCAGGGAGAGGTCTCTCCATCAGGAGTGAGAAGACATGGTCAACCAGGAAGAGGTCTCTCCATCAGGAGTGAGAAGACATGGTCAACCAGGGAGAGGTCTCTCCATCAGGAGTGAGAAGACATGGTCAACCAGGAAGAGGTCTCTCCATCAGGAGTGAGAAGACATGGTCAACCAGGAAGAGGTCTCTCCATCAGGAGTGAGAAGACATGGTCAACCAGGAAGAGGTCAACCAGGAAGAGGTCTCTATCAGGAATGAGAAGACATGGTCAACCTCCATCAGGGAGAGGTCTCTCCATCAGAAGTGAGAAGACATAGTCAACCAGGAAGAGGTCTCTCATCAGAAGTGAGAAGACATGGTCAACCAGGAAGAGGTCTCTCCATCAGGAGTGAGAAGACATGGTCAATCAGGGAGAGGTCTCTCTATCAGGAGTGAGAAGACATGGTCAACCAGGAAGAGGTCTCTCTATCAGGAGTGAGAAGACATGGTCAACCAGGAGAGAGTCTCTCCATCAGAAGTGAGAAGACATGGTCAACCAGGAGAGGTCTCTCCATCAGAAGTGGAGAAGACATGGTCAACCAGGAAGAGGTCTCTCTATCAGGGAGGAGAAGACATGGTCAACCAGAGAGAGGTCTCTCCATCAGAAGTGAGAAGACATGGTCAACCAGGAAGAGGTCTCTCCATCAGGAGTGAAGACAAGAAGAGGTCTCTCCCTCAGGAGAAGACTCTCCATCAGGAGTGAGAAGACAACCAGGAAGAGGTCTCTCCATAAGGGTCAACCAGGAAGAGGTGAGAAGACATGGTCAACCAGGGAGAGGTCTCTCCATCAGAAGTGAGAAGACATGGTCAACCAGGAAGAGGTCTCTCTATCAGGAGTGAGAAGACATGGTCAACCAGAGAGAGGTCTCTCCATCAGAAGTGAGAAGACATGGTCAACCAAGAAGAGGTCTCTCCATCAGGAGTGAGAAGACATAGTCAATCAGGAGAGGAAGAGGTCTCTCCATCAGAAGTGAGAAGACATGGTCAACCAGGAAAGGTCTCTCCATCAGGAGTGAGAAGACATGGTCAACCAGGGAGGGGTTCCTTCAACAGTAGTGAAAACTCCCTGGATCTTGATTGGGAAATTGGTAACTTGTAGGATCGTATGGAAACGATTGCAGACTTTTTGACCTTTTGTCTTCTGAAAGATGAATATGGGATCTTTTAATGGACCTATTTATTGTTTGATATAGAAAAGGGGTATAAGACAAGGAGGCCTGTCTATATTTCTCAGATTAGGTATTGCAACTATTTACACTATTGACGTCGTTCGGACTGTTCTTTTCTTTATTGCCATATTTACGACGTTTCGGCTGTTGTACGCTCTTCGTCAGATGATATACGTTGAAATTACGAAACGGCACATGGCCCAGTGGATAAAAGCGTTGGTTGATTAATTCCAAAAGTGACTTGAACCAAAGAGTTCTAAGTTCAATATCTGACCAAAGCGGAGGGAAAAAAAGCTCGGAAAGTTGAATTACTAAAGGAAATTAACTGATACAAAGACATCCTAAAAAGGCATGGCACGCGGAATTAGAAAAGTCTACCTCCGTGAACTAAATAAAGGGGACGGTTCGAAATTCCAAAGTAAAATCACCTGAAGAAGGCCGGGGCGTACAACGGTCGAAACGTCGTTAATATGTGAATAAAGTTGAGAACAACGATGTGAACGATGTAAATTGTATAAATAGACAAGGACGTGTCTTCTCGCCCAAATTATTCAGCTTATACAAATGACACAAATTCTGGTAGCAGACACTGAAAAGAAACTACAGGGACTCTTACAGAAGGTAGTGAAGGAAAGCAAGAAGAAAGGACTAATCATCAATTGCAAGAAGAAAGAATGCATTGTTTTTTTTTCAAAAGGAACATACGATTTACAAAATGGAGATCCTGAAATGAAACAAGTACACCTGGAAAGCGTTTTAACAGAGGACGAAAAGTGTGACAATGAAATTCGAAGGCGAATTGGGATAAGGGAAAGATGCCTTCCGAAAGCTAAGCCAAGTATTAAAAGAACAGGAAAAATTGTTAGAAGCAAAGAAAAGCGTACTGAATCAGTCATCCTAGATGACTGATAGGCATAACAGATGAAGAAGAGACTTGAAGCAACAGAAATGTGGCTCTACAGAAGGATGCTGAGAATACCATGAGCTGAACCTGTTAGCAACGAGGAATTTTTAGAGAAAATGGAAACAAGAAGCAGAAACATAATTAACAGCAAGAAGAGATAGCTGAAATTTCTAGGGCACATCATGAGAAAATAGGGCTTGGAAAATTTGATACCTACAAGACAGATTAATGGCAAGAGTGCCAGAGGAAAACAAACCATAATCTACTTAGTGACCTTGAATGGATGGCAGAACAGAGTTTTGGAGAGATAACAAAGAGACAAGAAATATTAAGAGCTACAAAGGACAGCTAATTGTGGAGAGCCATGATCGACAACGTCCTGAAGGGACACGGCACATAGAAGAAGAAGAAGAAGAAGAAGAAGAAGAAGAAGAAGAAGAAGAAAGAGCTTCAGTAAGTAAATGGCAGAACAGGGTTTAAGAGAGATAGAAAAAACGAGAATTATTAAGAAATAAAAGGACAGGAAATTGTGGAGAGCCATGATCCCATAAGTCCTGAAGAGACACGACACATAGAAGAAGCAAATGTGGTATACGTAAGAGATGCCGAAGATCATTTTGTAGCATTTCGCCGCAAATGGTTGGGCCCTTCGTTTTAATTCTTCTTTTCCCTTTATATGAGATCTGAACAAAAGTGTTCGATTTAAAACTTTAGTGGGAGATTTGTAAAAACAAAAGATACGAATTTTCAAGCGAAACAAGTTTTTTTTTCTATTTATGGAGAGTCACAATCTCTCTCTCTCTCTCTCTCTCTCTCTATATATATATATATATATATATATATATATATATATATATATATAAAAAAAAATTTGGAAAAAAAAAGCAAAAAATCCTTAAATGCAATTATGTTGTTTAAAATGAATGAAATGTCGACGTCTGACGTTTCGGTTTAATAAACCTTCTTCAAGACAATATTCATTAAAATACAATTCAGTTCAATTTGACAAAGTCGATGGACATAAAAAACAAGTCTTATCCAAAACAGATAACTGAGAATTTTTAAAATGATCAGCTTTTCGTTTAGCATGGTCACGTTGTCGTCACATGGGCGACGCTTTCAAAACGTATTCCTAAAAAATTTTTTATTTTGAATGAAAAAGAAAATGAAAAGATTCTATTAGGATTCTATTAGTGACCATGCTAAACGAAAAGCTGATCATTTTAAAAATTTTCAGTTATCTGTTTTGGATAAGACTTGTTGTTTATGTCCATCGTCTTTGTCA